CTAGTTAGTTAAAAATAGTATCGGAGTAAAATAAAATACAATATCAGTTTCACAAACAATAATATTATAATTGCTTTATTTTATACTTATAGGGAAAAGAAACCATTATAGGAAATGATGAACGCTATTTAAATATTATAAACTAAAATAGATAGATCACAATCATAATATTTTAAAATGTGTTAGATAATACACTTTTTTTCAGTAAAAGTATTATAAAATCTTAATTGATTGTTGATCAACACCATCTATGTAACGTGGCGAGAACTTACTATAAGAATTTTAATATGTTCAACAAAATAATTATGATGGTTCTAAGATTTCATTTAAATTATTGGTACACAATTAACATAATAAATGATATTTTTACTGATAAAGACGAAAACAATTTAATAATATCCAAGATGATATTACATAGAAAATAAAACAAAACCGATTATTACGTACATAAAAAAAAATCAGTGTGGCAGATGACAGAACTAAAATGTAAATACAGGGGAATTCCCGCTGATTTCCCAAATTTAAGGGTAGTTTTATACAAATTATCATATGGAAAATAAAAAACTTCTTCAAATAACAAGAAATATTAAAACAAAGTATTCGCTTGTTGGTTAACAATAAATTTTGTTCATATACAGTTATTTAGAGATGTTTACATAAAACAATACAATCAAAGTTATAGTTTTTGGGTGTATTCGATTATAAATTGGCAACATTTATAGGCTGGCTGATGAAATCTCGTTCACAACTTCACAGTCACAAAATTACAAACTACTGCAATCATTTTCATTCTGATTCAAGGCGAGACTCGAGTGTTGTTTACAAGTGAATTCAATAGAATTAACTTAATCAAAATCAATTATTTTTTCCCAAGTCTAATCAACCAAGACTATAATCAACAAATTTGTGCGAAACACTCAATTTGGTAAGTTGAATAATGATAAAATTGTACAAAATACTTTATTCAATGTTGCGTCATAATTTCATGTAAACTTAAACAAGTTTCTAAGTGAATTTTAACTTTAACTCTTTGTGTTTTTATTACAGAAGTGTAAAAAAAGTGTTAAAAAGCTTTGCGAGAAGATTTCGCAGCGGTTTTAGTAAGCAATTTGATGACATTATTCGAGTTGGACGAATTCTTAGACATGCCACCTGTTAAGCGAGGAAGGCGAGGAGTTAGCGGAGACGAGGATGATGAGGAGTACAGGAAAAAGAGGGAGAGAAACAATGAGGTCAGTACTTAACACAGAACAGAAGTTACTTCTACTAGTCTCACATTAGAGACCCTTGATGGCAAAACATGATGACTCTTTTGTTAAAACACCAATTTAATTTTTAATTGCGCTAACTTTCCTACCAGCGTCTCTGTCAGTCTACTTACTTTGTTTGTAACTGTGAGGCAAGTTGTAAATGACAGACATTTACTTTTGCTTGCTCCCTGAAAATAATTTACTCTTTTAATTTATGTTATAATAATAACTTCGATTATAAATAATTATAATTAGTTTTATTCAACTTTATTAACTAGAATACAATACAAAAGCTTAGCACATTATATCTTGTGAAAATCAGCAGTATTTCAGATATTAATTTTTGTGTTTTCCATCAAAAATGATCAATTTTTGAGTTGAGCAACATGTTATGATGCAATTGTTTACACTTTGCAAGGTGATGTAATAATTGCAATAGTTGACTTGAATGTTGCTTGTATGGTAGAAACAATTGAAATAATGACTCAAAATGTATTTGTTAACATGAATTACTGTTTGATACCTTAATAAAACAAGGTACTTAGTTTCTTACTATTTAAAAAAAATTAATATTACTTGCACCATAAACTTTTTTCTGGGGTTTCTGTTTCTCTTCTCATTTCTGTCACTGGTCTATTAAATTATAAAGAAAATAATTTATCTTTGAATTTTGTAGTATTTTTAATCAGATGGTGGTATCATAATGCAGATAGCTAATAATAGACCTAGATAGTGCCGCCTTAATCTTTGATCAATTTAACTCGAAAGTTGTGTAGCATAAAATTCAGGACCATTAAAAAATAGTCACTCAATTAATATTTTTTATTTTACAGGCTGTTAAGAAAAGCAGAGTTAAGTCCAAGCAGCAGACACAGGACACATTCTCCCGAGTCAAGCGACTTAAAGAAGAAAATCAACAACTGGAAGACACCACCAAACGGTTGACCAAAGAACTGGAGTTACTGAAGGAGCTCTTCATCGCTACTGCGGCCAACAAATCAAACCCGAAGTTTGAGGGCATGGACCTTGAGAAACTGCTGGAAGATACTCCCGAAGTTAAGTTTTAGTTGTGTTCCAATAAAGCTGTGTTTATTGCGCTCTACTGATCTAGAAACTACTGTTAGAATATTATGTTGTATCATATCTAAAATTAATTAGTATTAAGGTTTTTTCTGTGTTTTACACATCACATGTAAATCAGAATAAAGTCGAGACTAGCATTGACTAAAAAATATTGTCGCTGTTGATAATTATATTATAATTATCCAGTATTCATATACGTATATGTAGTTTTAGCACAAGACCTTTTACAATTTTAAGATCAATTTCTTACTAAGAAAGGTAGTAGAAACAGAAGTTAATTGTACGAAGTACTTTATAAGATATTCGACTTATACCATAAGTACAATATTCTAGGAATAAATCGCGAATTTATCTCTGATATATAAGCTAGTATTGCATGTTATTTGAGATTGATCTGTGATTTTACTGTGATTTATTTATTAATAAGTCGAAGCAATATGTATTCATGTTATGTTATCATTATTTTGTATGGTTTATCCATATGATAGCCAGCCAGACTTAAAAATATTTTTGCTGAGTCATGTATGGGGTCAGAATGACCTTGGGAAAAGTGACTCACTTATACAATTTTGACCAAGGTCGGTTTTACATTGTTTCAGTTCTATACATTTTGATTTTTTTTATTGTATTGTCTATAACTAGTGTTTATGCATTGTGTTTTGTATGAGACAATGATGATATTTTCTGTGCATTAAATGTTTCATTAGCCCATGTACACTTGTAAGTTGAAAAAGTCTTTATGGTGTCGTCAATAAGGTGGCTTTTTGTACAAATACTTTTAAAACTTCTTATGTTTGGATAATCTTTTCTCAAAGCTTTCAATAATAACTCATAGAAGGAGGAAAAAGTAAATAACAGTGCTAAAAAAAAGTTAAATGAAAAGCCCTTTAGACTATTGTTTTCGATTGGAATTTTATTATAATCTGTGATAGTTTAGTTCATACGACACAAATATCACCCGCCAAGTTTCGTGTCTGCTAGAACGGGATAGCAGTAAAGACTGTTTTGATACCCATACTAAGTATTCGCTGTCCTTCTCGCACTTTTCAAAATGCCTACGAATTTTGGCGGTATGTATGCACAAAATATTTCTGAATAAAATTATGGGTGAAATGTGGTATAGTATTATTATATAATAAATCTGTTGTTATGTATTGTCTTATGTTAATTTGTGTATATTTCAATGAAAGAAATATGATAAAATTGTTACATTATCATTTAAAAACAAGGTAATATAATTTTTTTCTGGAAAATTAAAACAACATAAATACTCATAACATTTTTATTATGCAAAAATAGAATCTTACCAACTACAATAATTATTAAGTACAAACTATTTGTTTCGGGATACTTCGAACACTTTCGGGCTCGAATCGGGTCCCAAAACAAACATCCGTACTGAAATATTATCCACGAATTTTATAATTAAGTATTATGTAAGGATTTATTAATTATACTATTAAATATACATTTGATACAATTATATTCAGTCGTTTTCTTTCAAAATTACCTACTTTGACTGTAACAATAAAAAAGGTTTTACTTTTCATATTGGCGATATTTTAACCAAGTTACATAACACATAACATAACTCAACATCACGCCTTTTATCTCCGAAGGGGTAGGCAGAGGTGCACATTGCCTACGGCACTTAATGCCACTGTACAATGTAACACCCACTTTTCACTATTTATGTTATGAGTCCCATGTAATAGGGGGTGAGGCTATTGCCATATACCGGGCACAATTCTAGACTCCGTGTTATTACTGAGATTTTTTTAAAACTCAGTATTACTTAGCCCGACCGACCCGGGAATCGAACCCGAGACCCCTTGCCCAGCAATCGCACTTGCGACCACTTGGCCAATGAAGCAGTCACTTTAACCAAGTTGCTGATAGTAAATTAATTGACTTAAAGAATATTTAATACACATTCTTTTCGCAGTTCATAAAATTAAAGTTTCGTCTTTTAGTTACGTGTTTATGAATTTGTTTTAGTGACACGGGACGGCGAATTGCCATAAAAAGTAGTTACCTAATAGGTTTTTCATTTTTGTACAAACAGTCATCTCATAAAAATGACATCTTATAAAAAGGACATGAGTAACTGTCTTGCGGGAGCAGTTATTCATGTCTCTGGGACGCCCGGACTTCGGTGTCCCGGTGTTTTTATAGTTGCATCTAGATCCTGGCTTACAGGAGTTGCAGCGGTTTTGGGAGGTTTTGGCGGCCTTGTCCCAATAGAAAAGGCATCTAATAAAACATCGCCAGTTAGAAAAATAAAACCTGACAAATAAACTGGGGGACAATAAAATTAAGCCACCGAACTGACTACACAAAAGAAGGATATGACTGTGATGACTTCTTTAAATATTTTTTTTAACAGAGATAATAAAGAGGCGACGATGTTTTAATTTGTCGTCCACCAGTTTATTTTATACACAAAATAAAAAAGCTTATATTGTAAAAAAGCAGGATCACAGATAAAAATCTAAATAACTCTATGCATTAGCCGCTCGTTTAAGGTTTTTACGAATGAGGCGCTAATGAGACGCAATAATTATTTTTTCAATAGTAACATTCACTAACGGTAAACGACCAGTCTCAATTGAGGTAGTATTATGTATGGAGCTCATTTTCAAATTATAAATAAAATGAATGACATCACGCCTTTTATCCCCGAAGGGATTGCACATTACGGCACTTGATGCCACTATAATTTAACACCCACTTTTCATTATTTATGTTATCAATTCATGTAATAGGGGGTGAGCCTACTAATACCGGGCACAATTCCAGACTCCGTGCGACTACTGGAATTTCTTTTTTAAACTGAGTACTTAATACTTTGCCCGACCTGGGAATCGAACCCGAGACACCTTGCCCGGCAGTCGTACTTGCGACACCTCGACCTTTCAAATAATATAGTAGATAAATCTACCGCCAGACAATCTAATAAGACTGGCCGTTAACGTTTAACTTTGAATCACAGATTATAAAAGTATCTCACATCTCACTAGCGCCATATATTGAGCATAAAATCGCAAACCCTAAGTTCATGAATATACCTAATTCTTGCCGCGCGGTTGTACCCGCATTATTCCTATACATATTAAAGTTCACATAACGATCAAAATGAATGATCGGTCATCATTTAATAAACTCATAAGACTAATCTCAATAACTAATTATCGGTATTTTGTGAGAGCTTAGTACGAAATATTTTACGTCTACGCGAACGAAACGTTACCGCGTTCGACGGTCTGATTGGTTGGTTTATTGGAATAGGCCAATCAGAGCTCCGAACGCGGTATTGTTTGCTAAACGATTTTTTTTATAGGATAAGCCGGCAAACGAGCCGACGGATCACCTGTTAGTAAGCGATCGGCGTCGCCCGGCTTGGACTCCTGGAACCCCAGAGGCGTTCCAAGTGCGTTACCGGCCTTAGGAATTTGGGGATTCAAGGATTGGGGAGATTAAGGCGGGGGGAGGGGGAGGTAATTTGGCCTCGGGTAACCCTCATTTACACGACGCAGCGTTGTTTCACATCGGTTTCCTGCTCGGCCGTGGTATCACTCCGGTCGAGCCGGCCCATGGCTCTCCAACAATTAAGACAATCTCGTACTAAGCCCTCTATTAAAAACCTAGATCGGACTTAGAACCTAGAAATTAGGCTCTAAGTCTAACCGTAAATAGGTTATTGACACTGTCCGATGATCACACGGGGTCAAACTATGCAAATCCAGTTACACAGCACAAGTCCATAAAAATATTAAAAAAAACAAATCTCGATAATGTAGTATCATGCAGTTCTGTTACAATATTTTTAATCTGCAAGTCAAATACAATACCTTTTCCAGATATCACAAACGAATTTTTCGTTGTACGTAGGATCCTTTGATTATATTGTAAGGCGTCCGTCAAATTATGATAACATATTTGAATGGTTTGAAAAATCGAAACCAACAATTTTTTATTTGAACTAACATATCGGAATTACTAATATCTGTCTAAGATTTCGCTGACATCGGTAAATATTATAGAGAAGATAATTATAGCGCATAATTGGCGTATTTAAAAGTAAAACAGCATCTGTCATTTTTGGAAAAACTAGCCTCCAATTACAACACCCATACCTATTTAACACTTGGCTCATCAAAACCAATTTTAAGGCATTGGCTGCCAATAAAAAACTGTTGAAGGCAAATCCTCCGCTAATGTCGGTCACCAGTGACTGCCATGGCGTTTAACGTGTTAACCAACTAACGCACACAAACAATTCACAATATTTCATCAAATACATAATCACATTTTTCTTACCAAAAAATTATTCAAAATAGCTTCTATTTCCATACATTAATAACGCCGTCGGCCGAAGCACTGACTAGATACGGTTTGGTTCCCTCGACGACGGTAAGGTCTGTGATAGGAGCTGTATGGTAAAACGACCTGGATTCCACGCTTCTGTATATATTGTCGTCTGGCATTGATGCTGGAGTCGAAGGGTTGAGCTTGCAACATTCTTGTATCACTGTGGTGCCATCTATTATTCGGCTCCTGAAATAATTAAAGGTGGTTTTTAATGGCTGAAAGAGATTCTACGAAAAATAAGTCTGAAGAAAGAGGACACTGTTTGTTGTTTCTACTCTAATGATATCTTCTTTGATTAAATAATATTTGAATGGATTGTATAGTGCTATGGAAGAATATGGAGTAAACTTTGGAATGCAATTATCAAGAAAAGAAAAGGACAACCGGCAGACACAGAAGGAAAACAAAATTAAAATTCACAAGCAAAAGAAATATATGTACGAAGCAGGGAGTTATGTAAAACTGTCAAAAAAATATACAAATAAACATCAAGTACATTGATAATAGTCAATTACCTGTATTTAAGCGCCCCAGGCGAATTCTTTAACGAGTCGTTATGCGCATGTAGCAGTATATAAGAGTCCTCAGGGTGCTCCAGGTCCCAGTAGCGGAGTCTTTGGTCGGAGCCGCCTGTCACCACGAAACGGTTGCCTTCGCGGGTGCCGCAGTATATAGCGCTTATATACTGCGAGGCCTGGATAAAAACCATGTGATATACACATCTAATTATTATTGTAAATAAGTAAAAAAAATCGTGTATTTTCCGGTTGTTGCGCAGTAATTGAGCAAAATATATTTATTATCATCGTATAATTGCTGTACAGATCTGAATAAAATTTGACACAGAGACAAATCGTATTCTGAAATAAACATAGGCTTTTATCCTTGGAATACGAAAGAAGTTGCAAGATACACTTCGACCAACGACTTCACTCACAGTAATGATGTATACCGCATACATCACATCAGATCAGACATAAGACGTCCACTGTAGAACATAGGCCTCCTCAAACTTCTAAATCGGTTGGTCTAGTAGCGTCTGTAATTGGGCCTCCGATAATCTTAAGACGACAAAACACTACGCAAACTTTGTTTCACGTCGGTGTTCTACTCGGCCGTGGTATCACTCCGGTTGAGCCGGCGCATTCGTGCCGAAGCGTGGCTCTCCCACACTTAAAAGCAAGATCGAAGCATTTTTCATTTCACCTATGTCATTTGTAGGTTACATGCACTCGTCAAATGTCGTGTCGTGGTCAGTGTAAGTGCTACGTACGACGGGCGTGTAGTGCAGCGGTTGCAGCGAGTTGGTGCAGGTCCAGAGCGCGACGGTGCGCTGCGTGGACTCCAGGCTCCAGGCGGCCGCGTCGCTGTGGCCCGCCGCCCACACGCTGCCCGCCGCGCCGCCGCCCACTATGCGACGCACGCGCTCCGCTGGACACACGACCAAATATAATATTCTGACTTAAAAAAATAAAGATATAATATTCTGACTTAAAAAAATAAAGATATAATATTTCAACTTAAAAAAGAGAAAGATATAATATTCTGAATTAAAATGAGAGGTTCTCAGTTTCACCACTGTGTATGCACGTTTGTACGTGATTATCTCACGATTCCCTGAACCGATTTTGATGAGGTTGTCAGAATAGTGACTGACTTCAAAAAAAAATTGGGTTTTGAAGTCGCTGTTTAAAACACCGACTTTATAAATAACGTACTTTATAAAAGATTTCCGTATTTGATATTTGAGTTTGGCCCAAAAGACTCTTAAGATTCCTCAAATTTTCCAAAAGGTAACCGACGTGCTTGTAAACTCATTTAATTATCATCCAAATATATTGCTTGCCATCAAGTGATCCGTTTGCCGCTCCATATCATAAAAAAATTATATTAGGATTTTTGACTAAGAAATCTCTAGACAAAAATTGATTAAATCATATCATCAAAAAAATAAATAGAAAACGTACATAAAGCTCACATCTTTTATTCAGCCGCAAAGACAATGATAGACAGTGTAACATAACATAGCATCACGCCTTTTATCCCCGAAGGGGTTAGACAGAGGTGTACATTATGTCACTGTACAATGTAATACCCACTTTTTACTATTTATTTTATGAGTTCCATGTAATAGGGGGTGAGCCTATTGCCATATACTGTGGTGTGATTTTTTTGAAAAACACAGTAATACTTTGCCCGACCCGGGAATCGAACCCGAGACCCCTTGCCCGGCAGTCGCACTTGCACTCTGCCAATGAGGCAGTCACAAATAGACAGTGTGACATTCGCATTTGACCAGTTCTGTTAGAAGTTTTATTAATTCGTTTTACATAACACTTCATATGCAAAATTGAGCGATTATTGCCAATCCAACCAAAATCGAAAATACTCAACAACACTTCACCCGACCTGAAATCAAACCCGTTTCAAATGACAGCAAGAAAGATAAAGTAATAAATGAGTGACTCACAATTAGGATGTCTAACAGAAGTGATCGGTAAATGGAACCGCAGATCCCAGACACAGATGGCGCCACTAGACGTGCCCACTGCCAGGTACCCAGTGGGGTCCGCGTACAGACATGTCGTCACTCCCTGCTTTAAGTCGCCTTGTAACTTCCACGCGTTACCTGAGAACAAAATACCTTGTATTACTATAAGGAGGGAGACTATAACTTATTATACAGTAGCTTCTGCCTGCGACTTCGTACGCGCAATCCCGTTTTTCCCATTCCCGTAGGATTTTCAGGACTTTTTTCTGTCATAAGAACCTTCTCCTGCCGATAACAAACACAACAAAAAAAATTAGCCAAATCGGTCTAGCCGTTCTCAAGTTATGGCGTGATAACGGAAAACGAGTTTCATTTATATATATGTTACTGTAAAAGCTCGAACTGCAGTAAATCCTAAGATATTCCAGTAAAACCTAAGATCTACCAATTCCAAAAGGTAAATGTCCAAAAAAAATTACGATTCGAACTTTTACCACCATTCCGTTGGTAAATCTTAGGATTTGCATCAATGGCACGGTAAATGTTGAAAAACAAAACATGTCATAATGTGCTCAGCGCATCGACTTGTAGCTTGCCGCCCCCGCTACCCGCGCACCGTCTCCGCCACTCCGCTCGCCTCAATCGCTCGTTTGACACGTTTGAACTCGCACGATAAACTGATTTATAATTATATTTTTGGTGTTTAAAAGTTATTTATGAATAAAAATGAGTATGAAGCAAAGATTTTATCCCTTAAAAAAAATAATAATAAAAATAAATCATAAGACATCAAAGAAAACATTTTCCTCATCGCTACCGTGAGGTAGGATGCCCAAAAGACTGGCAGCATTGCCACGTTGAATGGCAATGCTTAACCTTTGCCCAAGGTAGTAGCCAGCCCTTCAATCACCTGAAGTGTCAACCATCCTCCTTACAATATCTTTGTAAAGAAGATGTGTTCCCCAAACGGTTTGAAAGCATAATTGCCAATCATGCTATTATACTTTCGCCGTTTGAGGTTGTAAGATGGGATGGCGCCAGAGTATCAACGCAAGTGGCGTCCCATACTAAAGCCCTACCCATCTTCCAAGGGAATAATGACATACCGTCGGGTCTCTTACCATCGTCGTGTACCAAGCCATTAGGTTCTAAAGTAGCTGGCACGCCAACGGAGGCAAGAGCTCGACGAATTTAAGTCATTAATACTTGCGTGTCGAGCAAAACGGCCCGCACTACGGCTACATGACAAGCCGTGGTGTCCAAGGCTGTTGACATCTTCACCACAACGACAACGATGAGGTGAACAAAATGAAGCTCCAAGCCTTAAACAAATTTTATTAAATAATGGACGAGCTTGTGGCAAACAAAAAGATATTAACAAATACGCTAAGTGTTTAAAGGAAGTAAAAACTGCAAAGAACATTTAAAGAAGGAACATTAAAGAAAATGTTTTTTTAGGAACCTTACCTATTAATCAATTACATTTGATTATCTTTATTTACTTCTAAACCAAATAATAAGAAAAATAATAATTAAGTTAGACTAGCTTTTATAAGCATTATGTTTGTATTTCGTTGATAAATTCCAAATAGAGAAGTACTGATTCAGTTAGATAGATATGGCAGAGATTAAGATATTCAGATACGTGTTTTTTCAAAATAATTTTAATAAGTTGATATTAGTTTGTACTTGTTACTATCATTATGATATCTTTATAAGACTATTGTCGGAATACTGAAACGCTACTCAATTTTAAGTCGCGCTTAAGAATAGTTCTGTCACCACTAATTCTTTGTAAAATGACAGAGATGGCACGATATTTGAGCACGACTTAAAATTGAGTAACTTTTCAGTATTCCGGCATATGTACCGGTTTTGTCTAATAGTTCAAAGTAAATAATTAAAATTACTCATTGTTTTATTCCTAAAACCAACATTTACCAGCTGACAGTGGTAAAACCTAGCATATACTGAGTTCGAATGGTAAAAGCTAGAAAAAATCGTCGTATCTTCAGAAATACTTACATTTACCAACTCATGTCGGTAAATCCTAAGACTTACACTTAAATCTTAAGATTTACCGTAGTTCGAGCTTTTACAGTAACATATATATATAGATTTGTAAAAGATCTAAAATAATTAAGAAATTTCAGAATAAAATCGATTTTTTACTTCAATCAACACATACCAGGCGCCCGTAGGTCCCATCCGACAATATTGGCGAACAGCGTGGCGTACGCGATGACGTTGCCATGCGCGGGCGCAGCCACACACAGCGCGTCGTCGCCGTCGCCCTCCAGCTGACGACCTTGCGACAGGTTCATGCGGGACGACGTGCCGTCCACTCTGAGGACAACAAATTATTCTTATTTTGGTGATTGGCGAAGAGAGAGAAACCTATTTTCCTTGAAAAGTAACTCGTAGTTATGTTTCTTTGCTTTTATGGGATAATCCGGTGAACGAGCGGACGGATCACCTGATGGTAAGCAATCGGCGCCGCCCATGGACACCCGGAATAGCAGAGGCGTTATAAGTGCGTTACCAACCTTTTGGGGTTAAGAGTTTAAATATTATTCGAGATTCAGGGATTCAGGGGGTAATTGGGCCTCCGGTAACCTCACCAACGCGACGAAATACAACGCAAGCGTTGCTTCACGTCGGTTTTCTGCTCGGCCGTGGTATCACTCCGGTCGACCCGGCCCATTCGTGCCGAAGCATGGCTCTCCGGAACACTTAGTTTACTAGTAGTTAAAACGTTGAAGAAATATGTATGTATAGTCTTCGTCAATATTTTAAAAATTGATGTGACTAGAAGATGGTGGAGTTTCTTTTAAAGTCTTGAACTACGCTACCTCTTGCTTTCGACTTTATGAACTGTGTGTCATGATAATAATTAAATCTCAGTTTATTAATTTAATCCGTTCGGTCGAATTGAGAACCTCCTCCTTTTTTTGAAGTCGGTTAATAATATACTGACCGTAGTACGAAGACAGACTCCTGCGTGGCAGCGACCAGAGACTGGCCAGCCTCGCACGCGGCCAGAGATACCACGGGACCTGCGTTTCTATTGTACATCGACTTCGATCTGGAAATATAAATAAATAAATAAATATAATAGGGTAGTTTCCTAAATTTTATTTTAACTCGTCGAGTACCGGTTTTGTAGACACAATTATAGAACAATAGGTGACCGCTTGGTGTTTTGACAGTTTAATGTCCGTCTGGTACATTAATTCTTTATGTATTTTTTCTTTTCTCACAAAATTAAATAATTTCGATGATATATTAATTTAAATTATCGTGAGACGTCACAGCGTGCCATATTTTGTAGTACATTATGACGTAACGATCTCCCACTCGTAAACTTAGCGCCATTTTATCCAAGTGTTGCAACTTATTAAGAGAAAATAAAAATATACGTGTCTAATATTTTTTCATTATGTAACTGACGAGTAATAAGTAGACATCATTTTTTAATTATTATTATTCTATTGTTTTAAATGTAAAATGCTGGTTACTCTGACATATTATTATCAATATTCCATCAATGTCTAATATTGAATAAGGTTTCCACATTCGAAAGATGTCGGTTAGTTCGCAATCATTATGAGACTACTATATTTGCACGCCATTGTATACGGCAAACATGTCTCGAACTTTTTTCACTGCTACCCGCTATCTTACATGCTATTGTTTATTGTATGTACACATGTGTTTGAGCAAATAAACATGATTTGATTTGATTTGATTTGATGGACTAATTAGTTTTTTTAATTTTGATACCCTGGAAACTACCCAATTGTAATTAAAGGTAGTGTATTAATTTTAAGTTGTAATTTTTGTTAAAATTTTCTGATACATCTTAGTTTTACTCACATTTCATTAAATAATGATTATGGTACACTCACTTCAAACAACAACATAAAGTTAATTTTACAAATGCAGTGTCGCAGTATACATAGCTCATGAAAGTAGTCAAACTCGACTTTTTTGAGTCCCGCACTACGATCGAAACTAGTCGTCTTTCCTCGTCAACTTTTAAATTAATTTATGATACCTTATGAGTTATATTATTTATTTATATAATGAAAATAAATATATATAATGTACCTGTTAATATGCGCTTGAGTATGTAGCCTGGCGGCGTCCCATAACCTGACGGTACCGTCGTCGGAGCATGACGCGAACACTGAACGAGACGCCGGTAGACATACCAACTGGTTCACTCGGGCTCTGCAGGCAGAAGGTAATAATATACACATTTTCCCATTTAAAAAAGTTACCTCAAAAGGATATTCGTCTTTGACGTGAATACGATTTTAGGGAACAGAGAGTATATGTCCCTAAGATCGGAAAAGGAGGATCCTCCGACCAGGTAGCTTATTCTTAAATCTAATTCCGATCGATCGACATTGATATTGTGAAATTTCGTACTCTTGAGTCGCAACACTAGCGCCCCTTGCATCCGTATTGCATGGATATTTAATGAACTAAATAGTATTGTAAATTCAGTTGTAAGATTTGCTCCAGACAAAAATGAGCGCAAGTTAAAAATATGCCATAAATTCTGTTCATGTTATTAGTCCAATTGCTTACTCTTGAAACTAATCTCAATGACAATGCAATTTCAATCCAATAAAATCTTAATAATTATCCAATGTCAAAACTATACAACCACAATCGTAGGTAGCTGTTAAAATAGCATTCAGAGTACGGAATATAAAGCCAAATTCAATACCATTTAGTTCATTCAATATCCACGCAATACGGATGCTAGTGTTGCAACTCAAGAGTACGAAATTTTTTATTATATTATATTATATTATTATTATTATAATATATATTTTAATTGGGAACTTGCCAACTAGTCAAATTCAATACTTTTTTCGAACTGTCAAAAACGACAGTTTTCCGTGATTTTTGTACGTGATTGTGACGTCACGTTTTTTTATTTATATATTTAAAAAAAATACAAAAATTAAGTTAGTCACAAAATCAATAAATGAAAGTGTGATTATTTTTTTAAATTTAATTGTATTGAACAGTCGAAATAATGTATTTTTGATTAAGTAAAGTACCCAATTGGCATACATACTTGTGTTCATGTAGGTAGGCCAGTAGTTGGTTCCCGGGCCGCCAGCCGGGCGGGGGCACCGTCTCGTCATTGCACTCCACCGAGTCCTCCGGGCTCCTGCAGACAACAATAATTATTAATAGTATCACAGTCTAAAAATCATACAGTCGTGCAACGAAGACGTCTAGACAGGGAAATCGTGCGGGGTGTGAAGGGCGAGACGCGGGTAGGCCGATTCGGAACTGTGAACAAAACGATGTTAGTGCTCGGGTTAGCGTCCAGGGCTAATCCAGGTTATTAGTACTGATAGGTTATTTGACTGCACGGTTGGTGCGGTGGCTGGGCAACCGGCTGCCGTGCAACGTGTCGCGGGTTCGATTCCAGCACGGAACACCACTTTGTCTGATCCACAAATTGTTGTTTCGGGTCTGGGTATCATTATGTATGTGAACTTGTATGTTTGTAAACGCACCCACGACACAGGAGAAAATCCTAGTGTGGGGCAAAGTTAAAAAAAAAAAGGTTACCGTACCGACGTGAAACACAAGCGTTGTTTGTCAATAGAGCACACAATAGAGTTGTCCTGTGTTGAGCTGGATAAGCATATTGTAGTCTGTGTTTATAGACCTCCTATGTTACAAAATTTTAATAGTTTTAGCTCCGTAATGGAAGATGTACTGCGCAAAACGTGTTCTAGTAGTAAATGTACCATAATATGTGGCGATTTTAATGTTGATCTCTTGGAAAATAACTCTATTTGTACTAACTTATTAAGTCTCTTCAAATCTTTTGATTTATCTAATGTTTTCCTTGAGCCCACCCGTGTAACATCCACCACGGCAACATGTATAGATAATATTTTTTGTAACTGTGATTTGATTTGGTTTTCTGCTCGGTCGAGCCGGCCCATTCGTGCCGAAGTATCACTCTCCCACACTTAACAAATAACACATAAGCTATTTGTTATCCTACGGGAACAGGGCATAAGCTAGTATTGAATAAGTAGGGATTAAAAGGTGTCCGTCATAGCATCAAGGTCAGCCGAAAAACGTCCATTACCTTAAAGTCTTCTGATACTTCTGCTGCATGCGCGCTGTAAGATCTCTTAACTCAATACGACACGGAGCCATGCTGTCTGTAAACACATACAATGACATCTAATTAGACTGTCAAACACCAAGCGGTCACCGGTGACCGCAACCTATTGTTCTATAATTGTGTCTACAAAACCGGTACTCGACGAGTTAAACATTGAAAAAACACATAATATAACATCACGTCATTTATCCCCGAAGTGGTATAAATATTTTTCGGTCGTAAATTTATAAGCCCGATGCGTTTTTCAAACAAAAAAATGTATTGTTAAAATTAAAATCTACCAATCAAAAAACAACACGCATTTTTATTGAACACTTCCTATTCAAAGAATTTTATTTGTTTATTTTATTTATAGAACTGAATAGAAACAGAAAGTAGGCAAATTTAGATAATTAAAATGCTCAAGACGGGCAGCCCTAACGCATATTTACGTACCTACCGCGCGGCTGTAGGTAATAAACTCTGTCAAGCGGCCGAGTTACACTACTGTGTGATAATATTACTGTGGCGGAGGATTTGCGTCCAGCAGTATTTTATTGGCAGTCAAATGCCGGAATACTGAAACGTTACTCAATTTTAACTCGTCGAGTACCGTCGTTATAGACACAATTATAGAACAATAGGTTGCGGACACCGGTGACCGCTTGGTGTTTGACAGTTAAAGTCGTGCTTACTAAATATCGTGCCATCTCTGTCATTTTACAAAGAATTAGTAGAGACAGAACTATACTTAAGCACGACTTAAAATTGAGTAGCGTTTGAGTATTCCGACAAAAGTCTTATAAGAAACCATACGTACATTGTACATAGCTAGCACTATGCGCGAGCTGCGAGTGATGCGGCGGCGGGGCCTGCGACATCGCGGCCGCGGTACTCGCGCCCACCGACTGGGACACGCTCTCTGACACTGCGCGGACATGTCATTGTACTAATTATTATATTATTTATAGTGGTCAAAAGTCAGTCCCATCTAATATAAAACAGTCAAAGTCAAAGTCATTTATTTCAATTAGACCAGGAAGGCACTTTTGAACGTCACAACAAAATATTTAAATATTAAATAATAAGAAAAAAATGTCAGTCTGTAGGTCAGTCCTCTAGTGAAGCTATTTGCTCGTTCCAAGGTGTAGATTCCTATGGAGAAGAACGAGCAAGAAACTCCATAGGTTACTCTTTTTCAATCATGTCCACAATACAATTTTTGGTTACATTCTTTCGTTGAGTTCAATAATGTGAGAACAATGTAATTGTCGGCGCATTAGTATGGCCATCGACCATAGAGGCGGCGACGCGCGGGACGGGGTATAAAAACCCACGGCCGCGCGAGCGCCGCGCTTCTTCTTCATCGACACACGCCAGCCATAGCATTCGGGCATTTCTTTGTATCGGTGCGAGCCGGTCTTGATTCTGATATGTAGTAATTAAACCTATGTATTAATTGTGCAGTCTTCTGTTTTAATTTAAAATAACCCGACAGAGCTACGACAGTTTGGTCCTTCGAGCTATTAAGTTGCCCAGTAAAATTTTGCAAATCATTATCAACGTCATCGGTCATCGTGTGCGCGTCGAGTGAACTTTGTACCCCGCGCACCACGTCGCCGAAAGCACAAAGAAGTCGTCCCCGAAGCAGACTACGTGGTCACCGTGGAAGCCGATGTCATTCTTGGGAGTATAATACTGTATTTGAGTGAGTCGTTCCAATTAGTTACTTTCCAAAACTTTCATCTTGCCAAAAAATCGTTTCCCAGCTTCCCATAACTTTCTTTAACAAGTAGCCCGTATCTCGTTTCAAATAGTGCTTGTAATACTGCAGTTATTTGCTTACGTATCAATAACTCACGTATAAATATTCCATAGTTACAAAAACTAGTTTGCTAACGAGGTACGAACACGTGTCACATCGTGAATCTCGGTACCTTTTCTTATCGCACAGCTGTTTTTGCATACATTCCTTTAACTTATTAATACTTGTTTAACCAGTTTATATTTAATCCTATACTATTTTATCATGGCAGACAGTTTAAAGACTTTAATTAAGAAACGCAGTTCTGTAAAATCGAAACTCACGATTTACAACAATTATTTAACATTAATTAAAAGTAGTGCCGCTATTTCACAGTTGCAGCGTCTAGATTTGGAAGAACGCTTTATTAAATTCCAAAGCTTACACGCCGAATTTGATGATTTACAGACTCAAATTGAAGTGCTTGCCGACGATGCCGAGTCTACGTTTACTGAGCGTGAGGACTTTGACCGCCAGTTCTTCAGTCTGGTGGCACTCACGCGCAGCCTGCTCGGTGCTTCGAACAACGGTGTCGGGTCGGAGGCTGGCTTCAAGGATGCTGACTCAGGTGCACATATTTCCTCACGGAATAATTTTGTTCGTTTGCCAAAAATAGAATTGCCACATTTTGATGGAAACTACCAATCCTGGCTTGAGTTTCGAGATACTTTTAGTTCATTGGTTCACGACAATGCTAGCATCAACGCCATAAACAAGTTCCACTACTTGCGAGCTTCACTCCAGAGCAAAGCGGCCTTAATAATTAAAAACATTGATTTTAAGGCCGAACATTATCAACTTGCATGGGACCTGCTATGTGAAAGGTTCAATAATAACCGTCTTCTTGTGGACAACCATTTGCGAGCTTTATTTGATGATGTGGAACCAATACTTACGGAATCAAGTGTTGGTATAAGAAATTTAGTTGATCTAATTAATAAAAATATTAGGGCACTGACAACATTAAAAAAGCCTACACAACATTGGGATTTAATTATAATTTATTTTATGGTAAAAAAATTAGATAGCATTACTCGTCGTGACTGGGAAGAAAATAGGAATACTGCTTTAAACAATGATGATCCTACTTTACAACAATTTTGTTCATTTTTAGGCAAGCGAGCCGACTGGTTGGAATCTGTTGAATCGAATAATTGTTCTTCAAAACATAATTCTATTGTAGCCTTAAACAATAGTCATATAAATAAAATTAATTCTAAAACTAATACTCAAATACAAAAACAACAAAATAAAAAATCAAACTATAATCATAAAAACAACAAATGTCCGCTTTGCTCCCAAGTACATACTTTATACAGATGTGACTCATTTAGAAGCTTATCTATTGAGGCTCGCATACAAAAGGTAACGGGTATAAATAATCATGTCTCCACCAGCACACAGTCTTGTCACCTCACAATAGAATCTTTATGCTGTGCCTTTGCTGTAGATATAGATTGTCATATTTTACCTGAAATTACCAAAGTTCTACCGTCTTCATTCGTGCATATTAGTCATGTTCCTATTCCTTCAGGTCTTATGCTAGCAGACCCGAACTTCAACGTTCCGTCGGTCGTAGATATCCTGGTAGGGGCTGATGTCTTTTGGAATGTCATAGGCAATAAAACTATTGATTTAGGAAAGCACTTACCTACATTGTGTGAGACCAAGCTCGGGTGGCTTGTATCCGGTAGTGTTTCACATTCAACAAGCTTATCTTCAAATCATTGTTGCCATCATTCTAGTGTCACTCCCGATCTTACTTACTTTTGGGAGCTTGACAATGTTTCCTCTAAACATTCGAACTCACTTGAAGAGCGAATGTGTGAGCAGCTTTTCGCTCAAAACACGTTTCGTAACAATGATGGAAAATTTGTCGTTACTATGCCTTTAAAGGGAGATCCAAGTTCATTAGGTCATTCTTACCTAAATGCAAGGAATCGTTTTTTATCCCTTGAACGACGATTTGAACGTGATCCTTCATTCAAACGTAAATACATTGAGTTCATCAAAGAATATGAACACTTAGGTCACATGACATTAGACTCCGACTGTACTCCATCACCTGAAAACTCCATTACTAAATATTACATTCCGCATCATGGAGTCATACGTAGTTCCAGTACCACAACACAACTGCGCGTAGTCTTCGACGCATCGGCCCCTACTAGTACCGGGGTGTCTCTTAACGACATTCAGATGGTCGGGCCCGTAGTACAAGACGAACTGTTTTCTATTATAACACGTTTTCGTCAGCATAGGTACGTGGTCTCAGGTGACGTGGAAAAAATGTACAGGGCCATTGAGTTGAATCCTATTCAACGACCTCTTCAAAAAATAATTTTCAGGTTTGATCCCTCAGAACCCCTTAGGACGTACACTTTGAACACCGTCACTTACGGTACTGCTTCAGCTCCCTACTTAGCCACTAAGTGTCTAGTATCTTTGGCTGATAACATTGAGGACGAGCGTGTCCAATCTGCCATACGACGTGACTTCTACGTTGATGACTTTCTTAGTGGAGGGGAAACTATAGCTGAGACAATTGAAATCGCAAAAAAGGTACAAACGGTTCTATCTTCTGCTAAATTTAATTTACGTAAATGGCGATCAAATCATCCTGAAATTCATAATCAAATTACTGATAGTAACGTGTTACATAATAAATTGCATTTTTCGGAGCAAGGTACGTATCCTACTCCATCAAAAACCCTAGGGCTTATCTGGGTATGTGACTCAGATACTCTAACATACTCAATTAATATCACTTCCACTACAAAAGTCACCAAGCGTCATGTCCTCTCTGTTATCAGTCAAATCTTTGACCCATTAGGCCTCGTTGGTCCATGCGTCGTCGAAGCAAAGCTAATCATGCAGCGTCTATGGCTAGAAAAATATGACTGGGACGACGTAGTTTCGCTCGACATTGAAAATATTTGGTCTACATTTGTGAGTAGCATAACATCATTAAATAGGTTAAACGTTCCTCGTTGGGTTTTGCGTGAAGATTCCGTTATTCATGAAGTACACATTTTCACCGATGCATCTGAGAAGGCGTATGGCGCTTGTGTGTACATTCGGTCTTGCAGTAGTGATGGATCTATAGGCGTCCAGCTTCTAGTCTCTAGAAACCGTGTAGCGCCTATCAAACCTACAACGATACCGCGACTTGAGCTTTGCGGAGCTTTGTTAGGTGCAAGGCTGTGTGCTAAGGTTCAGGAATCGCTTACCATACCCATTCACAAATGTAGATTCTGGTGTGACTCAACCATAGTTCTAGCTTGGCTTTCTGCTAACTCTAGTCAATTGAAACCTTTTGTTAAAAACCGAGTCAATGAAATTCAAGAAATCACGTTTGGTCATACCTGGAGCTACGTACCGTCGAAGGACAACCCGGCGGATCTTGTTTCCCGTGGTCTTAGGGCAGACGTTATTAAAGACACACCCCTCTGGTGGTCTGGGCCCTCCTTTTTGAAGCATGATGAAACCGAGTGGCCCAAAATACCCAACACAGGGAGAGATAATTTGCCGGAAGTAGTGACTCATCTCATTAAAAATGATAGTAATGTGAATCATTCTAATATTAATAATCATTCTGATACAACCATTCATACATCAATTATACATACAGTATTAACAAGATATTCTAGTCTAACAAAAATACAAAAAATATTAACTTATGTACTAAGATTTACTTATAATCTAAAAAATAAAAATAAATTGTGTGGCAATCTTTCTGTTTCAGAACTTGAAAATTCATTACATTTAATTATACACTTTTCACAGCTTGAAATGTTTCATGAAGAGTATATTTTTTTAAAATCTGGTCAGAAATTGCCACGCAAAAGTAGGTTGTTGCCCTTGTCTCCCTTTATAGACGATAATAACCTCATCCGCGTGGGCGGAAGGCTTGATAATTCTCCCTATGATTTTAATATTAAGCACCCAATAGTATTATGCAGTAAACATGTTCTAACTAAGCTTATATTCCACATGCAACATTTAGAGCTTGCACATGCTGGTCCACAATTATTACTGTCGCACATTCGACAGACTTATTGGCCGTTAGGTGGCAGAAACTTGTCTAGACTTGTGGTAAATCAATGTCTCAGGTGTTGCAGACACAAGGCTCAAAGCATACAGCCAATTATGGGTCACTTACCCCATTCTAGAACTCAGCTTGAGTTTCCATTTTTGTATAGTTACGTTGATTACGCGGGACCAGTATTGGTGGCCAATCGTAAAGGCCGTGGTTGCAAACTAACAAAATCTTATATGTGCATCTTTGTTTGCTCAGCAGTGAAAGCCGTTCATTTGGAGCTCGTCAGCGACCTCACCACCGAGGCTTACATGGCCGCTTTAAATCGGTTCGTGGCGCGTCGAGGCAAGCCTCGAAGTATCACGTCCGATAACGGGACAAACTTTGTAGGTGCATCGAACGAGATGCGTAGGTTCTTGGAATCGTCTGATGTTGCAACTGAAATAGCGCAGCTGGGCATTGAATTCGTTTTCACGCCTGCATACAGCCCACACTTTAATTCACTGGCTGAAGCTGCTGTAAAATCGTGTAAGCACCACTTAAAAAGATTGCTGCATATTACTCATTTAACCTTTGAGGAAATGACTACTTGTCTAACACATATAGAGGCGGTGTTAAACTCACGTCCTCTCACTCCTCTTTCTTCGGACCCTAACGATTTTTCGGCACTTACTCCTTCCCACTTCCTAATTGGACGACCACTCTTATCGGTGCCTTCTCCTCAGGTGACTGAAACCAACATCACGCGGCTGGATCGATGGAAGAGGATCCAGTTCATTAGACAGCATTTTTGGAACAGGTTTCATATAGAGTACATTTCTCTGCTGCAGGCGAAATCCAAGTGGTTCCATTCAAGAGGTGAAGTGAAACCAGGGTCCTTAGTCCTGATCAAGGACAAAACTGCACCACCTCTGCTCTGGTCCCTGGGTCGGGTCACCATGACCTATCCCGGCGTCGACGGGGTCACGAGAGTGGCAGAAATCAAGACGAAGAAGGGCACCATTCGTCGTGGTTTCAACAGCATCTGCCCACTTCCAATCCAAGATTGAAGAAAGCTCTTCAACCCGGGGAATATGTCGGCGCATTAGTATGGCCATCGACCATAGAGGCGGCGACGCGCGGGACGGGGTATAAAAACCCACGGCCGCGCGAGCGCCGCGCTTCTTCTTCATCGACACACGCCAGCCATAGCATTCGGGCATTTCTTTGTATCGGTGCGAGCCGGTCTTGATTCTGATATGTAATAATTAAACCTATTAATTGTGCAGTCTTCTGTTTTAATAACCCGACAGAGCTACGACAGTAATACCAATATTTGGTTAAGGAGACGGAAAAAGAAAATCTATGGCAATCCACATTATTAAAAATTCGACGGCGTCACAAAAAAAAAAATCAATAATAAATGGTTTATTGGTCTAACAGTTATCTTTGTTCAAATATATTTTTTTTAGTGTCGTGAATGCATTTACAAAAAGATCGAACGAGCAGATAGTTTCTACAGGACTAACCGATAGACAGGCACTTTTTATTTTGTTTGACGTTAAAAAAGCTATATATTGGTCAAATTGATTAATTATTTGACTTTATTCGCAATACTGATAAATCATGTCAATCATCAATAAATATGACTATAATTAAGAACTAACATTAAAAAAAACGCATCATCTACAATAAGATAATAACATTCACTAATAATTATGAGCCCTGGTAAGGCTTGAAACTAGTCGAGTTCCTCGTAACGTGAGTAAACATAATAATACGGAAACTATAATAAAAATTAAATTGGTAAAAATGGGTTATGCAATAATTAAATTAATTGTTTAAATAATTATAATTAACGATAAAATATAATAATGTAATATTACCTTTCGGATGTTCGTGTGAGTGTCCGAACATATGTTGCCACTCAGTGTTCATGTGTGACTCCTGCGAGCCGGACGTTTTGTGCGTGCGACTGTGCATACAAACATAAATTAATGAAAAAATAAAAATGACTGCCTGGCAAGGGGTCTTGGGTTCGATTCCCGGGTCGGGCAAAGTATAAGTACTGGGTTATAAAAAAACATCTCAGTAGTATTATTCCATAAATCTATTTTTCATTACATAACATAACATCACGACTTTTATCCCCGAAGGAGTAGGCAGAGGTGCACATTATGGCACTTAATGCCATTGTACAACACCCACCTTTCACTATTTATGTTATGGGTCCCATGTAATAGGGGGTGAGCTTATTGGCATATACCGGGCACAAATCCAGGCACATACGTACATACATTTTTATTTATATAAATTAAAATTGACTTTTATTATAGATTTTGCACTCATAGAGAATCAAATAAACATACATACAAACATACATAACTTCACGCCTGTCTCCCATGGGGGTAGGCAGAGACTAAGGAACGCCAATGGGGTAGACGACTAATTTTTATTTTAATTTTTTTTTGGTAGATTATTTAAAAACATTAGACACGTATTTTTTATTTTCTTACGGAAACGAATAGTTTCGAAGATATATTGATTTGAAATGTCGCGTGACGTCACTTCTCAGTACATTTTATACTAAGAAATGACGTTTTAGCCCCCACTCCTAAACTTTGATTCGTTTTATCTAAGTATTGTTTTATTATACAACAAAATAAAAAAATACGTGTCTAATATTTTTTTATTACCTAAGTTACGGACTAATTATATTTTTAATTTTCATACCCTGTCATCATCCCCATT